ATTTCATTAAAATGAGAAAACATAAATCTCACACTTATCGATGGGAGCAGTGGGAGAATACAGACATTAAAGGCAAGAAATACCTCAATGCCTCGTTTCGATTGGTTGTCACTACCTCGCTATTATGCCACCCATCTTCCTTTTATCATTTTAAGTGATGAGGGTATTTTCTCCCTCCCCCATTCTAAAGGAAATATCACCTTGGCTGTGTTAACGGTGGCTTTCCTATTTCCTGTGTGAGTGAAGGGATACATATTTACACACACACACGCGCACACACGCGCACACACAGAGGAAGAGGAAATCGCAGCATGTAAATTTCCATATAAACTCTACATACACATCAACAAAATCTGGAGTGTAGACAGTGCCATAAACACATTGATAAAACCATTTATATAATAAGTGTGTTTGTCAAAATGTCATCCATGGGTCCCACAGCTATTATCACTGCTTCAACATTTATAGTGGCTGTTTAAATAAATGGCCCGGGCCTTCATGGCCTACAGTAATACTCATCTAAGTACCCACACACACACGGAGTCTATCTTTCACCTACTCACCATTAAACTGCAGACTCAAGTCAGTGAAGATTCTCAGTCATCTGGCTCATGGCAGTTTAACGTGCTGTAGGACGGCGAGTGGACTTGCCTCAGGCTTTTAGGACCTCTCATCCGAATGGCTAGTTCATTTCCAAATGACTTGCGGAATATTTTAATGTGTAATGCAGAGGTTTTTTAACCCTTCCGACCAGTGAACGCTGTTGTTTTGTTTATAGCATGTGTAAAATAAGCCTTTTCTTCCAGCCCAGAGGTTTAAACATTACACTGCTAGGTTGCTGATCCCTTATTGACCTCTGCATTTGTTAAAGCTATATCTGATGACTTCAGTTTACATCCAATGAGGTGACACAGAGAAACCCAGCAGTAGATGGCTTCAGCTTAGCTGTGAAGTCGAAGGGAAACTTCAGTACATTTGAATTAGATACAGTGTATCCTGGGGTGTGAGAACGACTCTCCAGGAATTGAACTTTGCTGTTGCCATCTCAGAGATTCCTAGCCACTTTAGTGTGATCATCAGGTGTGCGGAAAACATATCCAAATTCACTCACACAATTTGGTCTGCTGACTATTATTTATCTATGGCAAACAGTTGGTCTTATTACATCTAATGGACAGTGGAAGGCAATAAATACATCTTCCACTGGCAGATTGACTATTAAGAGACTGTGACTGTGAAGATCAGTGTCTTTCTTCAATTCCTGCCAGTATATCAAGCTTGTGTTCAACTAAACAGCCGCAGGTTAAACACCGAGTGGGTCAAGTCTCTCTTGAATGCAATTGTTTTCTGTTTACATTCTACGATTTCTTTTTCAGAAAAGAGAGACTGTAAATCCTCTGCATGCTCTCCCTCACTCTCTAGCCTGGAGCCTCCATGATTTAATTAGTAGCATAAGTATTAAGTTCACTGTTGTCCCCCATTTATCATGCAGATTTGTTTAAACTACTTTATTTAAGTACCATTTAACACAGCAGGTACCTTATGTATTTTTGCTTTAATTGTTCTATCCATTCAAATTATAGCACTTAACTGTAAGCACGCCTGTTTTTCTTTTGGGGATTTTCCCCCCTTTATATATAACTTATCCCTGAGGAGCAGTGAGCAGCTTCAAAAGAGAATTTATTTATTTATTTTTTTGGTGTATGATTTACACGCCACAGCCAGGGCAGGATTCTAACCTGCAGTCCTCTGGTAACAAGCACAGCCCTCTTATAATCAAATACAATTATACCTAATACTTGTGTTTTATGTTGACGGAACGTTAATGTAGGGTATTTAAGATCAAATGTGTCCTTTGATCAGGGAGGTAATGCAACTGGTTCATTAGTGTAAATTTGCCAAAGTACAAGATCAATGGCTGGACGGTCAGTTGGTAAAGGATATAATAATGTTGAGAGAATTTTTTTTGGGGGGGGGGGTTGTTTGTTTGATTTTATGTGAACTTTAACAGTTTGTGTCTAAAGGCAAGAAGGGAGAGAGAGGGAGAAACTAAAACTCCAAACTCCACTACTTTTAAAGATTTTCTTTTATCACTTCTCATTAAAGTTCCCACACTGACCCCAATCTTAGACCCTCCGGTCAGAAATGTGTGTTTTGACTTGTTGTTTTGTAAAAGATTACTTGCTGCTCCCTCAAAGAACGGGGGTGGGGGGTGGGAGGGGGCTCCTGTCTTATCCATTTCTTCCCTTTGAAGTTAAAGAAAGAGGCGTGTGTTTGTATTCAGGGTGAGAAGTGATGGGAGTAAGACGATTCTCTCCCTGTCTTGAAGTGTGTGTGTGTGTGGTTGGTTGGGGGTGTCTGTTTGTTTTGTTGAAGGGCCCTTGAACAGGTTAATTAATTAAGCCATTTAAACCATTGGTTAGAAACTGATGGTGATGAAATGAGATGTGACGGCTGCCTTAGGTTTCATTTATAGAGATACAGCAGGAGGACGGGTGGAGCAGCTAACACCGTGTAAATGCATGGTGAGCTAAGTTAAATGGACTTCTTTTGTATTAACTTCACAAAACTTTTTACAATAAAAAGTTAAATAAAAAAGTTCACTAGACCATTAGAATTATATTCATTACATTTGTAGGTAGCCACAAGGTGTAAGAAGTTATTAACAATCCTTCCATAGAGCAAGAAGATCATAAGTTAGGAACTTTTTCTAGCTTCTTTAAGTATTATCCCTGTTTACATGGCTACGATACGACAGTAGCCTCTGGATATGGAGTTTTTACACAGATTCACCGCAAATGAAATCTTGCTGTAAATGGAACTGAAAAATAAGACTTCAGTCCCTGTAGTACATATGCCAGGCCTGTATGTGGGGCTGTGTCACCCACACTCTAACATGCTAACACTGGAAGAATTTGAACCAGAAGTTGAAAACTCACAGTGCATATAAAGCAAACTGCAAACAAAGTCAAAATAAGAAACACCCAAGATGGCTAACTGTAGCATACCAAATAACTGAATTAGCTTCTCCAACACGGTCAGAAAGCGCATGGTTTCCGCCGCCGTTGTTGTTGTTGTTGTTGTGTGGTGTTGAGCAGGGTTACTGGTGTAAAGATGACGGAGGGGCTGGGGCTGACTGTATCGTCTCACTCTGCTCTGTTCACATGGAGACACTATAAGCCGTAACATCGCCATGTAAACGGGGCTTTAGTCCTGGGCTCCACGTGACCTTTTTGCACTTTCCTTCCAGCACAAATCCAAAATCATGTCAGTATGAGTCCGTGGTCTAATGCCCACTCCACACCCACTCCTGTCTCCTTGAGCCTTTTACCTTTGTCCAGCTTTAACAATTACTGGCCATATCTTCTTCGAGTGGACTTAACATCTCTGCATCAGTGCTCTCCTCCTCCTTCCTTTATGCTCGCTGAGCTTATGTTGGAGTATTGGGGGAAGGATTCCCTTTTTTTTTCATTTGCTCTACAACTGCCCTCTGTCTAATACCCACTTACATTATGTTCAATTTGCCAATACTTACATCCCCCATGAAGGTGACATTGGCTGTACTGATTTCCTCCAGTTGCGAAAGGCCAACAGTTGAGGAAAAACTGATGGGAAATTTGGCCGTCAGTGCTGACAATAACTATTGTTCAAGCGTGTTTTTTTTAAAAAAGAAAATCAATTTCAGCACAGTCACGAGAGCAAAGAACTGTTCCTGTATCTGAAAAAGTAATCGATAAGCTGTGCCCTGCATGGCTGAAAATGGTTATCACCGTGCTTATTCCACACATTTTAAGCATGAACACGATATACTGCAAACTGTATTTTGACGACACAGGAATAGAATACAAAACGCAGTTTCCAGTCTTAACCAAGGAGGACTGATTTATTCTGTGTTCTGGTTTAGAGAGTGGGTGGATATACAACAAAAATAGATCAGAATGGAAAGTCTGAGTGGGAATATTTTCATAACATCTGTCTAACTTAGTGTATGTGAGGCACACTTTTCTGTCTGCCCACACACAGCAGGTTATATAAATGGTTACAGGCAAGAGCCCACTCAGGGTTTCAGTGGGCAGCACACTGGTGGGAAATCACGAAGTATATGCATTATCTAAATATATGTATTTTCTACATTCAACAATAACAGTTACTCTACTTGGATCTACATTGGATATTTAAATTATTACCACACGGTAATAATTTAAATGTCCAATGACATATGTTGATTTAACTCTGCTGTGATGTTGATGCAGGATGGAAAATGCACTGTTGAATGAGAATTTTGTCAGTTTGTAGAAATACTTTTAGAGCGCTAAACTGGAGCCTGTTTAGTTGAACACAACACTGATATACTTAAAGGAATTGTAGAAAGACACATGAAGATCTTCAACAGCTGTAAACCTCTCTGTTTGTTTTATATTGCTGCCAACTAGTGGAAATGTATTTATTTGTTCTGCCTGTCCATATAGATAAACAAAGACAACATATTTGTGGTTAAATAATAATCGTTTTGTGAGCTACGCAGTAAAATGACAGTTTTCCAGGGCACACATGACGAAAAAGTAAATGTCCAGAATTTACTGAGCCAATTTCACCAGTTGTTAAAAGTATTATTTGTAACATCTTGGAGAAGTGTATATCCTACATAAAGTATACAGATTACTCAAATAAAAAACCCTCAATCCATCTCCTCACATACATGACCTTCTCTAGTCATAGCCATTAAAATGTGGACTGCCTCAATGTTGCAGACATCTACAGAGAGGTCAAGATGTTTGCACCCCCTTGTTGCTATAGCTACGCTAGTTGGGAACTGATAACATTGAAAAGTTTAGGTACCTAAAAGTACAATAGTGGAAAAATAAAACCTAAAGGAAAAAAAGTATGTAACGAATCATGAGTTTGTTGTTATGAGCAGCAGTGTGGCACGATAGGAGGTTCTGAGAGCTGGAGATGTTTTATATTGATAAGAAGAGTTTTCAGGGTTGAAGATGACAGAGTTAGAGACAGGTGACACAATCCTTTATTTTCAGACTCGATAAGTTACTCCAAAAGCAATCTAGGGGGAAGACTGCATAAAAAAAAATCACAACAAACATGCACACTTCATTTTGTTGTAATGCTGCCTTGTCCTCTCCAGGTATCTCCTTCACTCCTCTTCTCCTGTCTCTTCACCATCTGGTTTTCTTCACTTAATGAGGAAACTGAGACACCCAGGACAATTAAATGAGGGAAAGAAAATAGAGGGAAGATAAATTAGACAATAAATTGATGTTTTACTTTTTTTGTTTTTACGTGGAGTGCACAATAACAACATATCTTTAGCTAAATAAAAATGGCTGTTGCTGCTCAGGACAGACATTTTTAACTAGTTGATTCAATAGGGAACAGAAGTAAATGAGGCCAAATTGCTTATCTGCCCACTGCAAAGGCATCTGTGTTCCTCCTCCTCCTCCTCCTCCTCCTCATCATCATCGTTCCCCAGCTATCACTAAAGGAACTGACTTCAAGAAATGCTATTTTAGATATGTGTAAATAAGAAAGTTTTACTCATTGTTGTCTAAAGCCCGATGGTACAGTCGGTCTTTTATAGTCTAGGTGATGTTGTTAGACATTTAATGTTGTTTATCTTCAGGATCCACAAGTGATCATTTCATTGGGACACTAAAGACGTAACAGGCTTCCCAAAACAACATTTTTATTTAAATCTATTGTCATCCATGAATACTGCGAAGAATATCTCATGTTTATTTTGAGTCGTTTACCACCTTGGCCTCTAGTCTCAGGTTGGGTTGATAAAGGTGTTTTGGTTGTGCAGTGCACTCAGCAGAGATGAATCTGTTTTGAATTCATAGGTACAAATATGACATTTTACACAGTTGTGAAATGAGAACTGGAGCTTTTTCATAATCTGTGAGCGAATATTTGAGCATATCTCTTTGGGGGTCAGATTAAGACAGTACTTCTGCAGAGGACTCAGCAGTTCAGCAGTGCACAAAGGTAGAGGCAGGTAGTGTGGTAATAAGGTGCTCAGTGCTGGAGAGAAAGGAAACTGTAAAAACACAGCTGCAGTGTTCTGCAGTCCTGCAATTGTGCATTTCCATGGCATTTTTACATTTTATGTTTTACCCTAACCCTACATTTTTAATCACAGCCACCTAAGTTTATAGATCTTCCTCCTGTCTTTTATATCAATTACTGATTCCAAAATCCAAGTTTAAAGCAGTATCTCTGTCTTCAAGTTCCTCTTACTGCTGACTGTCCATGTGAATGTCTGAATGGCTGATTATTAGCATGTTGCGACACCATGCCTACAAAATCTCGTTGGCACAGACTGAAGGCCTGATCTTCACTCATTGTATTTTAGTCAGTTCAGTGCAGAGGTACTGTAGGTTGACTGAACCCAATATTTCCCCACAAACTTACTATTATTCTCTGTTGACCCAGAGCTGATCCAGACCACGGTAAAGAGAATCTAACTTGATGAATCCTTCCACCGGAGGCGCTTTTTTTTTTTTATTTATCAATATTGGACATGTCCTTTTGAGACAATATAACGTACAAAGTCCACGATGTGCTCCAGAGACTAGTCTGTCACAAGTTAAATGGTTTCATATTGTGGTGACCTTCAGCTCAAAGTGAGTTTGAATTGAAACTCTGCTGTCTCAGAAGGATGAAAGGTTTAACAGGTTTCTCATGTCCAGGCACATGGACTGGATGATCACCATTATGACACCTGGTTCCACAGAGCCATGTATTGCTTTTACTGGGTGTTATTGCACAGTGTACTGAGTGCAGTGCACAACCTAGACACCTTTAAAAGCCTGTAGAGATGGAACGGTTCATTGGAGGATTTTTTTAAATTTAAGGATCTGTCTTAAATTAAAAGGATTAGTTCAACTTGGACCTTGATTTTCTGCATCATGCTGACAATTTGCAATGATTTAATGTCAACTTCTTGTGCACTGTATTTGACTAACTGTCAAGTGAGGCAGAAAAAACTGTGCATAACTGATGGTTTCCATAGTTACCTGTAAGGGTATCCATGGTACTTGGACCTGAAAATGGAAAGCAGGAAGCTGAAGAAAAACACCACCAGGCCCAAACCCACCAGGCAAATGACTGCAATGCACAAAATCAGAAAACAGACAGATAAACAAACACATCAGAATGATGATCAATAAACCATACAGAAATAATTAACAATGCAGAGTAACTGCAATGCACAACTTTTTGAAGTCCTGCAATATTCTCACTTTCAAAGTTGCAGAAATTTCACTTTGAAGCAGTTACTTCTTTATTTCCTCAGTGGGTATTTTAAAATTATTAAAACTGCATGAGCATTATCTTTAGTCTGCAGAGATAATTGGCTTCGTTTGCTCATATTGAGTCTGGTCAGACATGCGCACAGCCTCGGTCCGCACTAATCCATGAAAATTACAGCGTAAGTGGAAACTGTCACCGACAACTAGTTGTATTAATCAGGGATTAGGACCTCTGCTGGAGCCTGGCTCCTCTGTGACACGTCAACTGTGACTTAGCTCTATGTTCTTGGCATGTGTGTGTGCCTGCTAGGGAAAGGAGAGTGGGGGCAGAGAGAGGGAGAGAGAGAGAGGATGTAAGCACACAACATTTCAATTGAATAACAAAAGACAAAGTGAATGTGTGTGGATCTCCTGTCATTCTGGCTCCATTCTTCTGTCTCTATGTGAACTGACTCTGATCTCTGATTCATGTGCTGCATTTGTGAAACTGTGTGCGGCCATCACTCAGTGTCAGCTCCACAACAGTTTTCTGCTTGTTTGTTGTGACGCACGCACATACACACACATCCCAATGCACAACCACCGCTTCTTACTTCTCACTCTTGTCTGTCTCTGGGTGAAAGACAATGAGTGATAAACACTCAAGAGCCAATCCATCTAACAAACAAACACAGAGGAGTCTCCACTGGTTTTCACTCTCTGCAATCAAATATACATAAATACATATATACACGTATATAAAAATGAAGAAATTCACATGTTAATCTCAATAGTTAATAATCATTTTTGTAGATCCTAATAATTCCGTTGTCCATTCACTTATTGTAGCTCTAATACACAGTCGATTCACATTATTTGCACACACACTCACTGCCCAGCGTGTGCTCGTTGGCCTGCGTCAGTGCAGCCTCACCAAACACAGGGCAGTAAATAGGTCTACAGCTGACAAATTGACTGCCACAGTTGATTGTGAAGGACTGGAGACTGATTAATGTTGGTGGGACTTCAAAGTTTTGTAAGCGACTTCCACGTTCTACGAGCCACTGTCAAGATGCTCAGTAGTGACTTAAATCGACCAATTCTTTGGAGCAAAATCTCGTTACACCTACGCATAATTCTAATGAGGTTTTCTATATTAATGCCATGATTGTGGTTAGTGGCAAAAACAGCAATTTACAGATTTCTTTTATACATTTAAGACCTACATTTATCCTGATTATTCATGCTTTATTACAATCACAAATAATCATGATTAATCATTATCAATCCACAGGTACCTTGGGATAAATTAAATTACAAATAAAATATCATATTTGACTATAGCATTTTGGCCACATTAGTTAAAGTAACTTCCTGTTGATGTTTTTTTTTTTTTTTGTCATTGTTAGGAACGTTGAGTTCATCAGGGTTATGATTTGTGTTAAATCTACAACTATCCTGTAACTTGGGAAATATGACCAGCTGTTATGAAAGATTATCCAATTTCTCTTAGCAGTTGTGAAAAAATTCCTGCAAATAATTTGTCTTTGTTTGTCTAGGTGTCAGGGGCGGGAAGAATACCAAACACTTGGTCTGGTGGTGCGATGTGGCATTTTTTCTAATGTAAAATGTGTGCAGTGGCTCAACAAACGTTGGGAAACAGTGGAGTAGTGGAAATACACAGCTAAAGTCACTGGCAGTCCGATGAATAAATCTAGGTTTTACTGCTGCCACATGAACACTCGTTGCTTCAGTGCATCGTGTCAAATGCAGAGATGGTGGTGAAGGTTTAATAGTATGGCTACCCAGTACAGACACAGGCCACTAAGCACATTAAAAAGAAAATCCTAATGCACCTTGGTTAATTAATGCTATACTACATGGTATTTAGCATCTAGTGGTGGTGCTACATGTTCTGGTTGAATGTCTTTTTCTCCACTCTCTCTGCTCAGGCATGTTGGAGAACATATGGCCGCTTCGAGGTCTCATTAATACACATTAGAAATGTGCTTTCTCTGCTGTGGTTGGACAGAAAACATATTGATTTGAAACCCTGGCTTCCACAGCAGGAGCACCGGCTAAAAGGGCTCATTCTGCTGTAATGAAAGTATCAATTCACACTTTCTGGTAAATTCATTATAGATGATTACTGTTAAAAAAAAATTCTACACTTAGTATTTTGGTCACTAGAAGTACAAATTTTTTTTACAATCTCTCATACAAAGCACTTTAAAACCAGTGAAGAATTTTATAATTTTAACATCGTGTGAGCAGTGTTTTATTTCAGCATGAATGAAAGAGGTTGGTGTGAATGGACTTACTGGGACTGCAAATAAAATTGTTATTTATTATTTTTGGACAAGTAGATAATGACCTATATCAATACTACTAACGTACAGTATGTGAGCTGTTTTTGTTTTGCTTTTTTTTTCCACAAGAAATTCACTCGTCGCTCTAATGTTATTGCGAGACAATTATTCCTTCTCCAATATCTCTGACTATTGTCTGACTACCGCCTACTCAAGAGACATCTTCCAATGTTATACCTTATTAATTTCTCACTCTTTTGGTAATGCACTTGCTTAGAAACACTGTATGCATTGTAAAATCTGCCGCAGACATGACTGATCATTTAGCTGTTTTTATCTCAACACCTTCCCTCTGTTACCGACTGCTCTCAATGGAGCTATACGTGTGTGTGTGTGGTGATGCTGCATAATTGTGTACTGACTATACAGAAATACAAAAACTTCTGCTGATCAGTGTTTTAGTATTTTTGAATGACTATGTAAAATTACAATATGAAAGTTTCAGTATGAAAAAAGAGAGCAGAGGTGAGGAACACATTCAGAGACAGAACCTATCCTAAGGTCTCCCCCAGTGGCAGAAGTGGGCAGACCAAGCAGCTCTCACTAGCATTTAAAGAAAAAGGCACTGAAACTAGCTGTTCAGAATAACACTTTTAAACAGGTGTGTAAAGAATCCAACTGTGCTCTAATCTAACTGAATCTAACTGTGTTAGTTAAAGAAAAAAAAAAAAACATGAAACGAGGTAACAGAGATGTTGAACAGAAAACGCTCAAAATTTTTTTGTTACACATGAAACCAGTAAGCTCTTGTGTTTTCAAATTTCCATCTTCTATTTAGCCCATACTGAAAAGCACTGCTGTGGTGGAGAACTGTTGTGAAGCAACGACTGTGTAATAAAGATTTTACCAGGAGAAGCCGAGATATGAGGGGCAGCAAATGAATACAATACAGATTGCTTTTAAAGCCCTAAGTGGTACAAGATCAGCTTGTCTCACACTGACTGTTTGAAAACACAATTTAAACCTTGGCGTTCCCAACGTCTGTATGAGGAACTGGTTTGTGGCCTTTGTGTTTGATGTGTTTCACAGCTTGTAAAAAGAAACTTGTTTCCTTTAGTTTTTAAGTTATTTCTGTTTCCTGTGTTTTATAGCTTTTATCATTGTTTACTACGTTTTGTTTCTTATATCTATCTTTCACTTTGTGGTTTTACTGTAAAGCACTTCACGTCAAGTCTGTTGTTTTAAGTGTGATGTATAAAAAATGTTCCTCCATATTTTCTGTTACAGTTTTTTTTAGGAGCATAGTTTTATTTCTAATTTAAAAACTGTCCATTGATGCAAATGTGTTTTGTGAATCCTGGCTATAGGAATAAACTGAGTTGACTACTTCAACATTACTTTTTAGTGTTCGTTGTGCTGAATGAACAGCTGTGGTTTTTTTGTTTGTTTTTTTTCTTTAACTTTGCTCCCTGTTATTGTGTATACACCACTGCTGGTTAACTTAATGGAATTAGAGAACAATACGAAGAGTCATAACGGGTCTTCTCTACTTACTCCTTCTCTTTCCGACATCTCCTTTGGAGGTTGCTGCTTCATTCAACAGCACCATTCCCATTGTGATTGCAGCATCTGGGACAAGGTTGTCAGGGAAACATGAGCTGCAAAAGCAGAACTGCACACTGCACGCAGGAGAAATGTACACATTACACTATATACATATTCATGATGGAGGAGATTAGCCTGAACACTGGGCACATGCTGACTGTTTACACTCAACATGTTCAGGGTTTATACATAATCTGACTCAAAGGATGTATCTCAGTACAAACCGATACCGTGTAAAACCATGTATTATTCACCTTTGTTTCAAATATGTGAAAGACATGTTAATAAGTACCTTTGTTTTCAATTACTTAAGTACTTTAGAGTCATCTCTATAAATAAGGAACACAAACTAAATGTTTACACAACTCACAACAACAGCAGCCTCAGTATAGCGTTTCTCTGGGAAGAAAAACAGAGTTGTGAATACCAGGTTAAGCTTCGAGTCCACAAAGCTAACGGACTAACGAAGAAGAGGATGAACATTAGCACAAACACACACTCAGTGAACACACAACACACAGAAACCAAAGTCAAACAGAATGAGCCCTAGATTTCCCTTTTCTTTTTATATGAACAGTTGTTTTTAGCCCACATTGAAATATGACATGGCACTGATTACAGTAACCAGGCTTCTTTATCACTTTCACATCAGCATAGTTGTGTCTACAGGTAGAGAAGATATTGCAATTTGGCAAAACAAACCCAAAACAAACGGCTAACGAGCTCTTGGTCCAGATGCACACTAATTGGCAATGAGATTTCTGCAAAATGCAGACATGTATTATATTGCAGTGATAAGCATGTTTTACAACAGCCTGGATGAATCTAAACTATGGAAAAAGTAATTTAAAAAAATTACAAAATAAAAAAATCTATGGAAGAGATAGAAGAAGAGCTGAAGATGAGTTCTACCAAAAGTAAATGTCATGAGAACATGTTGTAATTTTATACAACTTTTTTCTTTCCTAAATCCCCCCCTTTACTTTCAACGCCTTACCTTTTATGCCTTTTTATATTGAGATCAAGTTCAAACTTTGTCTATTAAGACAAATCTGTTTCTAAAAATAGCTGAGTTATAACTCCATTAAGAACTCTGAGTGGATGTGTTATTTAAAGGTTATGTCCAGAGTGAAACTGTGGATATTACTGCTGTGTTGGTCATAAATCGTTCTTTAAACCGCCTGCACAGACAATGGAAAATGTGAGGTTGCATTTCCGCAGGTGTGTTTCATTGAGATGTAATCAGATGACCAAACAATTTAAAAAGAATAACAAATAAAGAGGGAGTGCGGACAGGCAAATATTGAAGCAGGTGCAACCTTGGACATGCTATTCCCCCCGAGGACAAACACAACTGCTACGGATAAACAGTGTCATTACACCACACACCTAGAGAGGTACTGGTACAAAAATACACGTGTAAACAGAGGCAGATAAACACAAATATCTATCCGACCAAACAGGTACGCAAACACGTACATCAGAAACCCTGACCATGACCAGTGGTTAAATAACAAATAGATGAAACACGAAGGTGAAGTAACAAAAAAAGAAGGTAAATCAAGCAGACCTCTGTGGATGAACATGCACGTGCAAGAGCTATTAACCCAGGGGAAAGCTGCCCCATCTCTAAACCTGGCATTATATGTGTTGTCTGTAAGTAAATGGTAAAAATGCAGGGTTTGATGCCAAGAATAGGTCGTAAACACTTTCCCACTGAGTTTAATTGCCACTCTATACAAACACTGATGCAAATAAGCCATAGATGACTGGTCAGGGTCAGGGTTCGGTCAGCTTCTTTGCTTTACTTTAACTCCCCGTTTGGGCGTTCAGCCACTCTGAGGCTGCATACCAGAATTTTCCATCTGTCTAGTAGAACTGAAAGTTGAAATATCCTCTAGAAAGACAGTCCAGTCGTCCATGTCTTAACTGCTAAAATCAAATGACTTGGATGTCTGAGATCCTACACAGAGCTCGTACATACATGTTTTGATCGAACACATGAACAATCCCGCACAACACAGTGGTGAAAGGATACTCAGAAGAAGGATGATGTGAGACTCGGCCACAAACTGAGCCTGACTGCTGCCGTGGATGTAACTCTGTGGAAGAGAAAGGGAAAAGAAGTAGAAACATTATGATTGGGGTTTTTGAACTGGCAAACAATGGGCATCATTTAACACCTTCAGTATAACTTCACAACACTTGTAGTAAGCTTAGGAATATAAGAAGATCATACAATTACATATATGTAATAAACTTGGCATTTTAAATTTTAATTGAATAAAGAAAAGTTCATTTAAAATTGTTGTTCCAAGCAGCAAAGCTACGACACAAAAAAGAACCTCGGTCAAAAAACAGATTTTGTACCGCATGTTTGAAGTAAAGATGATAAACATTTGGTCTCTCTCTGGTAGCGAATGAAAACCCTCTTTTACTGATCCAAGAAAAGTGCTCATGTTGCATGCAGTTAGTAAAGTACTGCAGTAATGGTAGTATAATCTAAATCTCTGTTTATGCTGTTTTATGTATATCTAAATCATACAACATTTTCAAAAAAAAAATTGAGGTAGCTTCCAAAACTCTGCTTCAAACTGTAGCACTTGTGCATCTGGTGGGGATGAGGTTAGCGTTCTAACTCCTTCATCTCTTTGTATGCAACAAAAAGATACAATGAGAGTGTGAGGAAGTGGAAGTATGGAAATGAGACCAATGAAGAGAGAAAAGGAGTACGGAAGTCTTTTTGTGTGGCTTTCATTGTTGAAAACTTGTAGATATTAGCATCTAAGCGCACAGAAGGCTCTCTCCACTTGACTGGGCCAGTTTTCATTTCTTTCCTTATCAACGTGAAAAAGGACAGGAAGATAAAATGCAACAAAGGAGGAGGAGGAGTAAGTGGACAGGATTTTTTTTCTTGCTTGGTTGGAGAGAAATGAAGAATTTGTTTCAGTTGAAGGCAGATAAAAGGACAAAGTCGTGCTCAAAACAGATCCTTTTGTCTTCAGAACAATGGGGGATCTTTGAGCTGTTATTAGAAAGTTTTCCCTTGACCATTGACAGACAGACTAAAGCCTAAATTAAGTTTGGTGAATGTTTAGCTTTTTTTGGTAATTAAATGCATTTCTTACTTACTTTTGAGAATAAATGTATACCAAATAGATAAGTATACAACCATCTGATGAACAGAATTGGCTGCTGTGTACTCTAATTAGACGAAGACTCGTTTTCATAATGTAAAAATAACATTGGATCCAAAAATTGTTTTGTGTCTAATAGAACATTGTCCTGATTACAAAGGTCTTTAAAGCCTTGACGTTAGACATTCAGTGTCTAAGGAGCGGTAGTGATGCAGCAAAACATTTGTCTTCAAAATACTTTACACTCCTGAACTCTTTTGAAGAGTTTTCCTTTCAGCTCATATAGTATAAAAGTATTGAAAACACAGAGTATGCCCTTAAGAAAATGTGTTTTTTGGGGGGGAGGATAAGAGTCATTGACAATCATGAAAACAAACTTTGGCTTTAACAAACACCAGGCTACCTTGAGCAGCTATAGAGAAAATGAAATACCATTTTACATACTGGTGAAATGACTGTGTGACCCTGTGTGAAATGACATGTATTTGCTCAACATTTCTTTGCAGATGGGATTTACAACCACTTCCCATTCTGTTTCATTTGTGTGTGTGCTGTGTTGTTGTTGTTATTATTCTGTATTCCCGTCTGGGGGTATTCTATGTACTTGTCTTTTAAAGTGACTTCTAGAATAGTTATAAGCTAAAAATGATGTTAGATAACAAGAGAAAGGAACCCTAAAATACATGCATCGCATCAAATTTGGATTAAAACAAAAATCAGTAAAAATATATGTGCGTTTCCTGACTTAAAATATCTCTCTTTTGATTTAATGCTCTGTCTACCTGTTCTAACAACATTACTTATATAGCACATTTAAAACAACAGAACGATGCATGAATAACGGTCAAAATATGAATGAAAAAGACAAAACGTGAAATATAGCTAAAAGAAATACAACACAATAAACACAAATAAAAGCTATATGACAGGAAAGAGAGGTAAAAGATTGAAGGCATAAAAACACAAATAAAAGCTATAAAAACACTCTGAACCTAAACATCTATAAAAAACAAGTTTTTGAAAGATATCAAACACATCGAATACAAAGGCTTTAAACAAGTTTCTCACACAGGCTGGGAATGTTAGGGTTTGCTTTTTAAAAACTTTAACTGATTTTAATGATCGTGCCGGAGTTTAAGGTAGAAGGTCAGAGAGAAAGGAGGCTGCCACACCTGTCAGAGCTTTAAAACTAAACCAAAGTAGAAATGGGATTCCATACGTGTTGATAAAAGAACAGGCCCAAGAACGGAGCCTTGGAGGACTCCATAGGGAAGAAGTGCTATGGAGGATGAAGAATCACCAAGTCAAAAAGTCCTCTTTAAAATCCTCATCACATACTCCAGTTTTATTACCAACTGAGCTAACACTTGACAAGTCACTTGTTACTTGACAATCGCTTGTGGTCTCTGTCAACCTGTGACTAAAGTTTAATCACTAGAACAAGGTCAGCCATATTAAGGCATGTCTTGTACTACAAGACTGGATTTAAAGCATGCATTTTTTCATAAATCATTTGGGAAAAAAAGACCACTTATACACATTCTGATTAATATGGTTAGAGTTCTGTACCTCAATCATCTGCACTATTCTTTGAAAAAGAAAGAACTGCTGCATTTTCACAGGGTGAGATTTTCTTTTGCTCTTCTGTGAGTGTTTTTTATTACACTTATTTTTTTTAACCTATGTTATTAACTTAAATTAAAGAGAAACTGCAGAATAAGACTTGGTTGGAGCAGTGAACAGGGGATAAACCATTTCTCATTCCATGGCCCAGCATTTCCAATTAATCTGATAGATTAGAAAGCAGTTCTTTTATTCATTAGCGTGCAGGGGGTAAGAGTGTAGCTAAACATGTGTATACAGAAATATACTAACTCATTGCAGGATTGTTGTCTTGAATTTTTATCAGGCATTCTCAGTGTGATACAATGTGTTGGTGTGCATCTATTAAAAGAACATACATCAAGGTGGTCTGAAACCACACGCAGACACAGCTCATTGATCTTTCATGGTGATAAATGTTAGGGCTAAGCTAACATCGACACTCCTTAAAATCCCTCCCTGTTATATTCACACATATCATTAATCAGTAAAAAGCAATACCTGCACTCACTTTGCTGGTGAACACAATTTTTTTATGATTTGGTCACAAAATAAATAGGATGATCATTGCTGAATATTCCTGCAGGTGTGTTAAATTGAAACTTTGATCGTCAAAAAATGGACTCGGATGATAATGGTGTTCAAGATTATAAGATTAAGGATTTGTTATTGTACATGTAAATACTACCTGTGAAGGTGATTAGGTAGAGTAACTACATTTTAAATACAATCGATCCCCATGGTGAGGAGGATTTGGTAAATTACCTTTTGGTTTACAGTTAAACTGTAAAAATTAACTAAACAAAACAGTACATTTTCATGAAAAAAGGTATTTGTAGGTATTAAAAAATGACAAGTTTTATTAAACATTAAGAAATACATCAATACAACAAACCACTTCTGTATCTTTTCAAGTTGCATTCTAATTCCTTAGATGCAAACATTACGGGAAGTACAGTAGAAGAACATAGAATTCTAAGGGAAGGAAAATCTTTGGCAAAACTCAATATGAGCACAGTTTGAACTGCATTGGCTGGGCAGAATTGAAACAGCGCTAAAGTAAAGTTTGTTCAAACATTCATCACTACAGGATCATTTCTTACACAGCGACGCAGCATGAATAGCTCTGGGTTGTACAGCACATTAAGAGTTTTAGGGTGAAGGTCTAGCGCACTCTATCTGGATTCTTACACTTATGGGGCCACAGAAGTTGGCTTTATCTTCTTGTAGGAGGAAGGTGGCTGCACTTAAACCACTTACTACAGGAAACAATAGTGCAGTACAAGCTGCATAGTAGTAAAAGCCACCTTTGGGTTTTCTGTACTGTTTTTTTGAAAACTAGAAGTGAAAGTGAATTTGTCACTGTGACACAGCACACCACTGCACACAACCAAACCTGACCTCCGCTGTTAACCCATCCCCAAAGTGAACAGTGGGCAGCTTTAAGCCCTCGGGGAGCAGTGTGTGGGGACAGTGCCTTGCTCAGAGCACCTCAGTGGTAAATTAGCAGCTGATGGACTCGAACCTGAAACCTTCTGGACCCAAGTCCGCTTCCTTAACCACTAAGCATGAAAGTTAAAATGTAATTTTTTGAAAATTATTTTGAACATAAACACAGAGATGAAACTTGGCCAACTATTGGCTGCCTTAAAGGAACGCAGACATTCATTATTTCACAGACCTGATGATTCAAAAGTATTTTTATAGAACCGAGTTTGTACGCAGGTGTGACTTGGCAGGTAGAAAAACAAAGAAGAATGAGCATTGTTTACAAGGCTGAATAAATGTAGCCAATAGGTTAGACGTTCATTCACCTAATCGTTTTTTTTTTTTTTTAGTTGCTAAAATGTACGTAGGTGCTGCCTTTTAGCTTAGCATTAGCTGATTGGTGTTGCTCTATTTTTGGTGTAAATAATGAGTTTGTACATGCGGAGAACAAATCTTTTCTTATAATATGCGCATATGTAGGAGCAACAATGAGCTCGGAGAATATTTTGGCTGCACTTTGTGACAAGGCCCTGGTCTTGCTCACTCATCATTTTAAATGAATCACACTGTGTGTGGAGATAAGGAGCGCTGTGTGAGGATAAGACTGAGGTAAGAGAATGTTACATTAAAAGATGAGAAGGATAAGACAGTTATCTTTCTGATATCACTTTGCCCGTTCAGAGCCTCTTACAGTCTAAATCTTAATGCGAAAGCAGGATTTCAACAGAGCGTGGGTAAAATAAAGACTGATTTTTGAAAAAAGACATTTACATTGAACTTGTGATGAGCCGTTCATTAGTTGGACTAGTGTATGGAAACAGATAATGTTAATGATAAACAAATCAGCCTTAAATATCTTCATAAAATAATCGTAGTTGCTGTTTGATATATTTATTCTTTTTATGCTCTCTATTATTTCATTGATTTTCATGAAAAAACAAATCAGATGTCACTCATCAGTTACTCAGTACTTGAGTAGGTTTTTCACCAAGTACTTTTTTACTCTTAGTCAAGTAATTATTTGGATGGCTACTTTTTACTTCTACTTGAGTAATATTATTCTGAAGTAACAGTACTTACTTATTACTTGAGTAATATTATTCTGAAGTAACAGTACTTACTTACTACTTGAGTAATATTATTCTGAAGTAACACTACTTACTTACTACTTGAGTAAAATATTTGGCTATTCTATCCACCTCTGCTGATGACCTATCTTTTGGTAGTGTTGCCAGTGGTATTCCAAGATCAAAATATGTTGGCAGATATTAAATACATTCAGATTGAGGGTCTTGGGATATTTGGTTTAAAAATGTGAGCAGCCTCCACTTTTTAAATTACCCATTACCCTGGGTTTACCTGTCCCTTTTTGTTTTTTTAAGAAAGTCACATTAGATGAGATGTTTCAACATGGCTGCCAGCTCATCCACCTTGTTTTTAATGTATTGCTGTTCTCTTTAGTTCTTAAAAGCCTTGGCTTGGCTGGAGCTATAGATAACAACAGCCCACAGCAATAAAATGACGGGTTCTCTCTCTGGGTGTATCAGTAAGTTAATACCAAGACCTGACTTCATCTCAGCACAAAGAATTCATGCATTTTCTGCATTTAGCTGACTACTTCTATTAACCGTACTTCTGGTCCTCTTTTCTGATTCTTTACTCTCTATGCCTGTCCATGTGTTTTAATGTTCCTATTATCTTATCAGATATTTCAAGAGAATATGTTTTCTTTAATTTCACACCTGAGTATACACATTTAATTGATGGCCAGCATGGACACCTGAGGCTTATAGAAAAGTGCGGCCTATATGCTGTATGTACAATTATTTTTTTTCTTTTTAAATGTAGTGGATGCGGCTTATATTCAGGTGTGGCAGAAATAAAGAAGAAAACAAACAAACAAACAAAGAAGACAATAGAGAAAAAGGAGGAAAGAAACAAACCTTGGAAAGGAAGGCACACATAACCTTGTTTCTTGCAGTGGCCTACTGTAGTAATAGTATTTGTTTTTACTCGGGTCTAGTAGTTTTACAGATGTTTCCATCACCCATTTAATACAACCTCCTGCTCCACACTGTAACTAAATTAAACTGAGCTTTTAGATAGTGTTTCTCTAAAATTACACGAACTTATAGTGAAGGACATGGCAATAAAATAAAGAAGTAGAGGAAAGTAGACAGGAAATAAAAGACAAAGTGTGTGTACCACAATAAAGATGTCTGGATGAGAGAGCTAAAAGGGAGTAATAGAAATGAAAAATAAATGTCTCTCTTACCACTTGTCCATTCTGAGGGTTTTTGTGGGCATAAGGAGGACCTCTGATGTGATTCCACATCTGACCAGATGTCATCGCAAAAACTACACACTAATACAAAAGAGACAGAAGGAAATAGAGAAGTAAACAGGAGAACTGCAACATCTGCAGAAGCACATTATTGTTATTATTATCGTCTCATCATCATGTCAATCTAATGTCTGCTGATCACTACGGTTTTTCATAGCAGATATTTCTTTTTTGTTTGCACTGTGTTGTAAATGCTTTTAGTGCCTCGTGATCTGATCTCTGTGTTTGTGTTATTGGAGTTGGTCCATGTTCCTAAATTCTCAACCACAATATTTTACTTTTAAGGGGAAACAATTTACTACTTTTATGCAAATTAAAATGGTTCATTGATGTTGAGGGTTGAGCACAGCTGGATTTTTTTCACACCTGTTTAACAGCCCTGTTCAGAACGACAGGTTTCTGTGCTTTTACAATTGTATGGTAATGAGCCATTGCCTTTAGGCATTTGTTGTTCTAACTGTTTAGTGAAGATAGAAATGGTTTATATGAGCTTTTAGCAGTGGAGATTCTAACAGTTCTGTGGAAATCACAGCTTTTATATTAAAATAACAGATGTGATATCGCACCTGTTTTTCCTCTTTTTGTCCCCAGGATCCAGATTGTTGGTTTTAAGAGTTTAATATTAAGCTAACGAAGATTATACAGCTTCCCTGGCCTTTCTCTCATGTGTTGTTAGAGATGACAACCCACTACTGCCTCCAGTGTTTACATACGTAATATGGCTCGTAATCATTTAGTTGGCTGGATAAACAAGGGCTATATGACAGAGTTTAGGGTGTAGCAGTCTGGAAGAGGGATGGCATGATACTCAGGATCTATATTGGTCCAATATTGGTCTAAATTGCACGATCGAACATGAAAAACACAACATGCTGTAAACAAGACAGCCCACGGCATGCTGGAGGAGAAAGATTATCAGATTAATATTGGTATCAGCAGATTCTCCAAGTTGCTGTATTGGTATTGGATATGAAAGTTTTATTAGCCATCCCTAGTTTGGATGTAGTATACAGTATAACAAAGTGGCTAATATAGGAGTGGCAGTATGAGTGGAGCTACTCAGTGTGGGGGGGTGGTCAAATTGTAAATGTCTTGTTTCGAGACATATTTTTTACAAATGTAAGCAGATTATAAAACATCTACCATGTTGTGTTGTTAAAGGAGTAGGTAGACACTTACAGATACACAAACGTGTATCAATTAAATGTTCATTTAAAAAAAAAAAAAACGAATAATCATGTATGCATGATAGTGCATTTCATACCAGTGCAGCCATGGCCCATCCAGTCTTGTTGTATATGAACTCCAAGTTGTTCCTCCTGAGGTACAACAAACCTCCAACCAGAGATACTAATAAAGCCAGAGCAATGGTCCCTGAATAATTAGGAGGGCGGAAAACTCTGATCTGTGGAAACAGATTAAAAAACAAGAGAGATAAAACTAGATACATTGTTGTATAGCTTCTTCATGTCAATGTTATTGTGCGTTTGAATGGATATTTTCATGTGTTTTATCTCAAAGAAAAAACCCAGAGTATGAGTAGGTAAATAGAGGCTTTGGGTAAGACTAAAGCAGATGAGCAAAAGCTAAAGTACTTTCTACATCAGCTCTTGTAACCTCATTACTCAACACTTTAGCGGCATGACTGCTCCTAATAACATAGATCCATCCAAAGCTCTCATAACTCGTGATTTTATTATTCTTGATTTTACATTTGGCTTTTTTCCCTCCTAAGTTGTTTTCTTTATTCATGTAGAAAAGTAACATTGGAAAGCCTGAAAGATGAGCACTTACTTTAAGTGCCCCACTCTTATTCAAAAGCCAAAAGTAGCAGGCTTGTAACATTTTTGTCAATACTCATCTGACAGGTTTTTCAGTTGGAGAAAAGAAAAACTTGAAAACAGTTGAAAAGTCTAAAATTTTAAGTGCTTCCAACACAAACCAGGCGATAAACGGCAAAACATCAATACCTGCTGTAACCACGATCAGGTAACTACACATGTAGGGTAAAAGCACTTATTAGTGTTTTCTGATAAGTTGCTACGCATTAAAAATTATCTATGAATTTGTCAAATTTCCAAACTGCTGTTCAGCTCCAAAACATGAACAATCAGAAGAAAATAGAATTGTTTTTTCTTATTATCATTTGTATTTAAAATACAAGATTAAAAAAAATGTAAATAAACAGGGTAACATCTGAAATACTTTTTTTGTTTTGTACCTGAACGTCAGTGCGGTCAGCAATCCACTTGGCCAGCTGCTCGGACGCAAAGCCAATCCTTTGTAAATCGAAGGTATCAGCTCTCTTCGGCTTCCCTTTTGCCGGAAAGTGCATGAAGGTTGGGGCACTGTTCATGTTTAACTATATACAAAAAAGATATATAATAATGAACAATGAAATGACTTTTCCTGTCACCTTAAACACTGCCAGGTCCTTTTACATTATCATATTTGTTATTTGTTATTACAAAGCAGAGACAGTGTTGGATTTTATTTTTCAATTGCACCATCATCGTAAAAACCTGCTTTCCTTACTGTACACATGACAATAAACGCTTTGAATCTTTGAATCTTGAAAAAAAAAGCTCTGCTCACTTTCTGTTCAGTTTGCCTTTTAAATTATTCACACCGTCACATTTTTTCCATCTTTATTTACTCTATCCTCAGTTTTAATGATATACTGTCTCGGTGTGACCCAGTCAATCAGTCGTCCGAAGGAAAGAAAATCATTTTAGCTCAGGAATGTGGCACCAATTTAATCTATTACTTACTGTAATTAGTATTAGAAGAGTGAAACATTAAAATCATGTCTCCAGCAGGCAGGTGCAACTGTGTGGGCCAACATTCACTATCCTTGTGCCAATGAGCACCTGTTTGCCCACAGGCATCCAGTAAGACGCCTTCAGCAGTGTTCCTAAAATAGTACAGTCTTACAGTGTAGAACAGTCTTCTTTCCAATGGTTAATAATTGATTTTTCACTTTCCACCTTTCTATCTGATGATGTGTGCAACATTTAAAAATGTTATTAAAAGAGCTTTTTTTTTAAAAGATGTACTTTCATTAGCTAATCAATGTACTTAACCTAATTATTGTATAACACATATATTTATATTTTTTATATCATGGGTTTATTGAGCACAACATTTACATTTTGAATGGTACTGTTATGTTAATGCATATAAATTGATAACCAGGATGAATTTGTATATAAATCCATGTTCATGAAAAGGGAGCCTTCTCATAACTCTTATGTTGAATCAATATTTTGCGTTATAGTTATTCTTTCTGGACATTTTTCACTTTTTCATTCTAATCTTCTTAGGGGTGTAAAACGTCATAATAATTTCATATTTGTCACATTTAGGTATTTTTATTTCTCTAGATTTATCATGAATCTATAATCCACGACTTTCGTCACAGTTGCTCAATCCGCAGCTAATCAGATAAAAAAAATGTAAATTACGTTACTTTCCCTATTTTACCTGATTTAGATTTTTGTTTTCTGCTAATGAGACTGAGTTAATCAGTTTTTACCAAAAATATTTATGCTTTAAATTCTAACATTAACACAGACCAAAGTTTTTTTCTGTGAGAAAGGATGAAATTAAAAGTTACCTGTTGGAAAACATCAGCACCCTCATCGTAGTCCACCACTGTAAAGAAAAGTTTGTTGGAAAACGCCGATGAATATCGCCATGAGTTAGCCAGGACCTGGTACTCCTCATTGGCCTGTCTGTAAGATGACAATAAAAGAATAAGGATATAGAAATGTTAGGTATCAAAGTAAGGAAATAAAGTAGACATACAAACCTTTCATTTACAACATACTGTATATTCTTTCTCTGTGGGGTTGCTGGTTACAATGTACCTGGGATAAACTTTTAACAAAGCTTCTGACTCAGCTTTCATTTACCTCCTTATTAGCAGCTTATCTTAATCCTCTTTTTTATCTGGCAGCTTAGTTTCTTCAAAAAAAAAGAAAGGCTATAATACACTAGTCTTGATTATTAATTTTATTGTTCTAAGTAGAATAAACCTCAGCTCAATTGTATTTAACATATACCATGAACCAGTCCCTGATTGTTTTTTCTTTTTATGTCACAGAAAAAATATAAAGATTTACTTTTCATTCTTTTTACATATCTCCATTTTTCTCTCCATTCAAATGGACTCTATGCGTGTCTGAAAAGTATAAGTATAACATTTATAATTACTGTATTTTCCGGACCATAAGTCACACCTTTTTATCCTTTGTCTGGGTTTGCGACTTATACTCAGGTGTGACTTATAATCTGGAAAATATTGTAAGAAGAAAAAAATGTACAGTCACAGTCAATGTTTTATTGTAATCTCCCCNNATATATATATATATAAAAACACTGAAAAAGAACACAGAAATCATCAAAACCTGTTTTTTTTGTTTTAAACTCAAGCGATACTGTGCTTCTGCTCATTTTTGTGTATATATTTAGCAGTTTTTAGCTGCTCTTTGTCCTACCGAACACATTTCTGTGGTTGAGACGTGTTTGAGCACAGGCCTTTGAGAAAAGATAAAATATTATGCATTTATTCATGAAAATCACAATACTGTAGGAGATAAGCAAACAGTGTCATAAAAGATGCACTCTATGTGACCTCATAAATAGTTAACTAACGGGCAGCTAGGAACAGGGTGGAAAGAGGAGACATGGTCAATTATAACATGTTATAGACTAGAAACAGGAGGACACAATATTCTTTGATTCCTTAATGTCTCTTTAATTATCAATTAGTTAAATTGGAAGATTAATAAGTCACATTTATATTGATTCTAATGAGTTTTATTTTCACATTCTTTTGTTACGTTAGTAACAGGGCATTGCCAGAAAAACATATTCACCCACACGTTGACATGAGTGGCACAAGTCGAACACCCTAGGAGGAGTTGAAAAGTCAATTGACGTGTGTCTTTACCTCTGTATACTATCAGTATAATCATATTTTAATAATAATTTTATTCATTTGTTTATTTCATTAGTATCATAGTAATATTTAATATTTTTCATACTATTCGTAGGCTGCTTAAGCTCTGCTGTTTTATGAGTCAAATAATGAGAATTGCTCTTCTCTGGTCAAGTGGGGGTGAGATAGCTATAAACATTTATATAAACCAGCACAGCAGAAAAGAGCCGACTCTATTGTTTTGTGGCTGAAATTTCTGTAGAAAAAGACTAGGAGAGAGGAAGTGTCCGGGGGTCGAGTAAATAGCACTATATCTCATTCAATGTAACTGAATGAAGTTTTGCAACTTCTTTGAAAAACATCGCACAAATGCATAACATAATTATATAAAATAACAAGTGCCTATATAGCATACAGAACATCATATGCAGTAAATGGGGTTACTGTGTTCCGTTCCTACGGTTCGACAGTGAGATTAAAACTTGAAATAGCAGGAAACTAACAAAGTTTTTTTTTGCATGTACTCCTCCTGAGAGAGAACTAATGAAAATACATCAGGATCAGATGTATGAGTACAGCTATCTTTTGAATGGATAAAAACTACATGCATTGTGGATATGAGGTCTAAGAAGAAAGGCCTCAGTAACTGACTACTTGGTGGTAATACTAACACAGACCAGCATTTCAAAATAAAGCTCCTTTTCTTTCACTGAAAACAAATGAACAGGATAAAATGACAAAACGGATTCAAGAACAAATCCACTTAGAGGGAGGTGTATAATGGTTATGTGGCTTTGTGCTGTTTGTCTCAAGGGACAACCCCAGCAAATAGAGAGAATCACGTGTAAATGAAACTGAAACTGCTTTGGACAATACAATGGACTGCAGACCCTCCCCACACATGATACAGCTGTGTAATTAAGGCGAGTTGAAGTGCACTTTGCACTGGTCTCCTCTGCAGGATTCTTCTGTGGCAACAAAACATAGATGAAATTCCTGGTTTATGCTACACAAACAAGTACAGAGTACATTTTGTTTGCAGACCACGTATTTCTGGTAATGGAGGTTCTTTACACATTGAAATTCTGTGCACATTGAAAGTTTGCCATTTTATAAGCCAAGAAGCAACTGCTAATTTACTTGCCCAGTGCAGACATACTTCCTTGTTAATGTTAAACTGCGGAGAGGCAAACGCCTTTAGTCTCAATGACATTGTAAATAACAAGAACAGCAAATGAGGGCAAAAAATAGTTCTGCAATTTGAATCAAATTGCAAATAAAAACAAATAGAAAGGGATGGGGAAATGTTCTGAAACAAATTGAAAAAAAAAAAAAAAACCAACAAATTAACAAGGTATTTTTCTACATATTGTCCAGGTTGAAACACCTCTGCAGGCAGTGCTTCCCACTTTGTTGAAATCTTGGGGATGTCTGTCGCACCACATCACAACCTTTCTTTCTACCAGCTAAGGCTTTGGGGTTCCCCTCAAACTGTCCTTCAGATTTGGGAAATAAAAAGAACTCCTCTAGTGTAATAACACCGATGCAAGGAGTGTTGGGAGGAATTCTCCCTCAAAATTTAAGTCAGATAGCCCTGAAATAATTTGATAAATGATGTTTGCCAGTGGCAGAACAGTACAACTGTTGGAGCAAATCAATTAGACCTTTTTTTTCTAAATGAAAAGGAAATGTTTTCATAACCCTTTGAACTGATCTCCGTGCAGCGACCTTCACAGGCTGAGCCTTGTCTCTTGTTGGACATTGTTTTTCGTTGTTGACTTTGGTTTCTGAGTCATTTTAGTAATTACTTGACAAATCTCCAAAGACACAGCGTGGAAAAAAAGTATTTTCTTTTCTTCACTCCTGGTCAAAAGTGCTAAGAATTGTCAGATCAATCAGTTAAATAAATACATAATGTAGGAGTCTTAATTAATTAAATTAAGGTCTTAGTATATGAAGAAGGTTTCCGGACTGTTGGGTGCCCTCAGCTTGACGACAGGAGTTCGTTGGTTCTGTTTGTACGTTTATTGGTTTTCTAATTAACTAATTTTGGAAACATGCCATTTTTTATTATTCTAATACTTTACATGTATTTGTTAGTGTGCATGTGTGTGTATTTGTGTATGGAGAGTTACCTGCAAACGGAGCACTGCCTTTGGGGCTGCAGTGCTGTGAACATGACAATAACGGAGTAATTCCTGGGAGGAGCCTTAACGAAGCGCCGGAACTTGTCGCCGTTCATCCTTATGACCGAACGCCGAGAGGACCACTCCATCATCTGGTCCACCTTCTCAGACAGCACGTTCTAAATAAACAGACAATTAAAAAACCCAAAGACACAAGTCCTTAGAATAAAACTGCAAAGCAACAGAGGAGTGATAAGTGGAGCGATGTTGATGACATCGGAATGACAAACACAAACACTCCTATTCTGGTGCTAATACAGCAGCAGCACAGGGAATTCATGAGATTATGCCCTGATTCTAGATGTGTCTAGAAGTTGTTTTTCTGTTGTCTTTATTGTGGTCTCCTTAGTTAAATGCAGACACAACTCAACTCAAGAAAAAGGTCACAAGAGAGTCAATAGCAAACACATACACCTGTATGCAAGTGAGCCAGCTGGTGCCTTTACAAGGTTTAGAAAGTGGATTAGCTAATTATGGAAAAGTCACACAGGACGTTCTGTACTTTCTGGTATAGAGTTTAACTGTGTAAAAGTCAGAGCGTAAAATCAGTTAATCAATGGAATTAATCAATAATTAACACTTAATTATTATAATCTATAGAGAATATATGCTGTATGTATGTATATATACAGTGTATGTATATATGTTATATATATATAAGGAATATGTCAACGTTAACTGTTAATTAATGTAAAGTTGCTGAGTCGAGTGAGCAGTGATTGGGTCCAGTTGAAATTGTGTTCCAGCGGATGTTAGCTTTACCGCTGGATACACGTGTATTTGTACCAATGGGCCCGTACCAAATGATTACACATTTATTTTAAAGTTAAACTTTAAGTTAAAAACGTCAACATTTCCTGCAGAGTTATGTTAATACTCACGACTGACCTTTCAGTGACTCCTGAATAACATTGTGACTCTGTGCATTATCTGAGCCTCCACAAACATGTGCTGTACATAAGCTCTCCAAAGAATTGAGGATGATTAAGGAATTTATTTTCTACATCACTGCACACAGAAAGAACTGTAATGACTCACACTGATAATGTGTCTTTATGCATTTAATATTTTCGGTATTTCAGTATTTAAGTCATCCTTTATATAACACTCCTACACAAACACACAGATTGCAGGCACAAGGATGTATAAGTAGCACTGGTGCGTTACAACATATTTTTCTCTTACGTGCCCCTTTACCATTTATAACCACTACTTTTACCATTATATTGTAGAGTGTATGTTCTTCCAGCTTTTCTATAATCAAACTATTTTCTCCTCAGGAGCTATCTTTTCCATTTTCCAATTTCTTAAACAGTAAAGAAGATCTTGTGGCTTATAGAATGTATAGGTCAAAGCAGTGTTGTTCAACTATGGGGTTGCCAGAAATACAAATGGGGTTATTCGTTTAAAATGTGTGTTAAAAACACCAAACCAAAATGTCTCAAAATTATTTTAGGAGAAATTTCATCAAGAAGGTGAATGAAAACACGTTTCCAAAGTCAGTGCGTTGTCATTTCAAATAAAGGTGAATTCAATACTGACCAGAAAAATCATAGCTATGTTATTTAAAAAAACAAGCAGCACTTCCACACATTTTGAAACCTTAACTCACAGGTCAAATGGACAGTGCGAGTTGAGACGACAGATGCAGGAGAGGAGCGGCAGAAGCAGCAGCAGCGTTTAGATCAGTGAGAAAAGTTAACTGGTGTTGGTGTCTGCACCGTGCAGCAACACCACAAATCTCTTTTACCACCTAAAATTCAAACGCCAAGTGACTTACAGCCACTAATTCAGAAACAGAAAAGGCAAAGTAGTAAAACTACATCAACGTCCTCCACATCGCAGCCATCAATAAGAGATGCATTCTGTAGTACCTTCTGTAGTAGTGCATTTGTTGCTTATATGTTTTGTTTGTGCTGGGCTGTAATGGATCGTCCTTCCATGTTTAATTAAGATTAAGTTACTGCCTGTATATATCTATAGTTAGCCACTACCAGTTTAAACTTCTCATTTTTTATTAATCATTTGTTATTTTTGTATTTATGTTTAATTTTGTATTTAATTTCCAAAAGAGGAACTAAGATTGCTGGAGTGTACTACTTTGATGTTTTCCTTGTTACTTTTTTTTTTTTTTTTTTACCATATTCGAATATTTTACTTTCTGTCTCGAGGGAAGTTTAAAGAGGAAGGTAAAAAAGAAAAACAGAAATATAACATTTGCTGTTAATTGTGGGCAATTCATACAATGTGATTCCAGAGTCAATGTGTACTTTTGTTAAATAATTACGATTTCAATACTGATAAAATAATGTCATGATTATCTCACAATCAAGCAGCCCTGGTACAGGGAAGTTCAAGGCAGAACTGATTGATGACTAATGACTAAAGGGTCGGAGGTTGTTGGTGGGGGGGCGTGACTTATCACTTAACTCCCCCAAAGCACTAACAAACTTAAAAGCAGGATTTTAAATCTTTGCTGAGACTGTTTTTTGGGGTTTTTTTTTTTTTGCAAGTTCAGTCTATAAGGATGTGACCTCCTCAACCAATTACCACTGGACAAATCGTACAGTATTAGTATTGTAATCTTAATAACATCAATGTCCATGGCCTAAGATACTCTGTGTATAGATAAACTAAAGAGAAAAAAAATAACACATCTGCTGACACCAAGAGTGAAACAAATACAGTACATACTGTAAGTTACCAATACACAAGCGGAAAGCATTTAATCACATATTGAATGTGTTTCTGTTTCTGTTTCAGTCCGTTCATTAGATAAGGTACCATTTCCAAGCCTTGGGCTAAAGCCTATACAACTAATGTGCTTTGAAACAAACGCCTCCATCTTTTCAGACTGCGTTCTCTCATATGCAGATATATTTTTCCAATTAATTGCAGCTGATGTTTGTCTCACCATGATGGCTTGAAACATCTATGGATGTGTGAGAATTCCTTTCTTTAACAGATTAAAGCTTCTTTAACTTCACGGTGTGGGTGTGACTTTTCAGATAGACTGTCATAACTCTTCTATAGAGTGCCTCTCTGAAGTTTAGAGTCTGTGTGTGTTGTCAGCGATTTCAGGTTAACTTTTAAAAATTCACCTGATGTTTCAAGTAAGGATTTTAGGAGGACTCACTGGCATAACTTTTAAGAAGAAAATAAATGTGATTATGATAAAAATGTTTCAGTCTTCTAGAGGATATTGAGTTAAATTCCAGCAGGGCAAGTTGGGGCCATCACAAATCATTCACGATTTCTTTTTTCTCCCAAGGATAAAATGTTGAAAAAATAAAGAAGTTGGCAAGATTATTGTTCTATCATCTCTCTGGGCATTGTGTGTTCACAAAAAATACCTACTAAATACTAATACTACGATGTATACAAAACTCCACAAAAGCTGAAATGCAGATAGTGTGATTTGTTATACATCTGGTATTTCTTTCACAACATTAAAGAAGGCTAATGAATCTAATTGTCTAGTCACCCTGCCCATCCATTCTGTTCCCTTCCCTTTCCCAGTTTTGCTTTTTTTTTTTTTTTTTGCTTTTTGCTTTTGTTTGTGTTCATAGATATTCCTTATCTGGACAAATTGTATGGCTCCACTCAGATTCATGGGACATCAGTGCTGTATGATTTTGTTATAAAGGCATTCCAATAAAAAACTAGAACGGACACAACAGGGCAAGAGGCCAATCCAACTGGAAAAACAACAGGGAGTCAACACAAGCACAGAGGAAGCATATGGTTACTATAGTGTTCCAGCAATAAAGCCAAGAGGCTGGGGGTACGATAAATAAAATGAGGAGGAAGTGAAAAAGTAGGAGGGAAGCAGAATTTAAAAGACAAATGGCATCTTAACATAAGGACATAAGGGAATATTTACTTTATCAGAATAAGAACTAAGTCACTGACCCTACAGGAAAACAGTTCAAGAACAAAAATGACAATAAACAAAAACGTTTAAAAAAAGTGCTCATGCAAAAGGCTTTTGTGTGGTTCTGTCTGATCCAGCTGACTCTCTGCTACCCTCCATGTTGCTGCCCTGTGTTTCTCACACTCTGGCATGCTGCACTGGTAAAACCAAGCACAGAATAATAAAATGTGTTCATAAAATGAAGGTTCCTTTATCTGCCCAACCATCCTAAGGGTAGTTAGGTTTTCTTTTTTATTTGTGCATACAGATTTATATTGCCAACTCTATCGCCAGCTAGGCAACAATGACAGTAATCTCATCCCCGCATTTCTGGTTTTAGCAATAAAAAGTTACAAGTCGTGTCTCTATTTCCATGAAGTATGGTAAGTAATGACCGTGTCATTCATGATTGTATTCATGATGTTACTCTGCATTTTATTTTGTGTGTGCACAACAACACAATAAAAAGATATTATCAAAACTAAACACACAAAGCGAAAGAGCAGTTGGGTGTAGATTACAGCACTAGCCTATAATAATAATAAAAAAACTTAGAAAGAGCAGTTACTGTTTTAATGCCAAAACAAACTTACACAGCAACATTATGATGCCTGACAAATTCAAATGTAAAAGATAAGAATTACTGTTGAGGCAGCTTTAATTCAAGCAGCTGAATAGATAGCTCTCTACATCAGACACACACTTGCAGGTTGTTTTTTAATACAGGAACCGGAAGTTTTGATTTATGTTGAAAAGTAATCTAAAGTAGGCTTGATCCTATTTTATAAAAGTAAGATGTAAGATGGCGTAGGATATGTAGAATTTTATTTTGAGATGCATGGAATGAAAATGTTTGCCTGAAACTGAAAACCGAAAATGAGAAATCCAAAGCTGAAAAATGAAACAGAAAGAAATGATCTCGTCAAGTATAATTTCCATAGGATGGCTTTGACTGACTACTAAACTCTTAAAATCAAGGAATTGCAATTGCTTAAGGGTTGAGGTGGTGAAAGGTACACTCATAGTCTGTCAGCACACCTTTCACTGAGATATTTTCGGATCCCCTCCACTCATCGCAACTGTGCTTGATTTGCGTTATAAAGATCATTACTTTACGGAGAAGCTCACAGCGCAAGAGAGCAGTGCGCCAGATGAGGGGCAGGCATTCTCGTTGTCTGATATGTTCTGTGAGATCCTGCAAGTCAGTGCCTCAAATAATAACAATAGGTTGGATATTCTGTTCTGACTTCCTATGTGACTATGAGTCGATTTTATTTTTCTAAAGTAACTTTCGTAGAATTTTGACTGTACAGGACCAATAAAAATGACCTTACCCACGTAACTCTGTGTCAACTATTGATTGTTTAACAATTGTACCGCTGCAGTAGCTAGTTCATCATATTTCATAACTCCACTGCTTGCACATGAAAAAAAAAATGGAGAAAAATGAGAAGATCCAGTGGGATTATGTGAACATTAGTTGACCGTGTTTGAATAACACCTTGATCAATTTAACAAAAGCCTGGCTACGTAGGCCTGTCGATAACATTCACCAACCTCAGGGACATACATCAACAGGGTGACATCTGTGACCTTTATCTTGCTCGCGATTGAGGCCATGTTTCAATCTGGAAATATTTAATGATGTTAGTTGATGAGAATAAGCGACTCGGGACAAAATGGTGTTAGAGTAAATAGTTTGAACTGACTAAAGACTACATCAGATGAACTTCCCATTTTTTGATCTCCAAGAGAACAGCCTTGTTGCCATTTAACCTTAAATTTTGAGGCAACCATTAACTTCCATTTTAATAACCTTAATATCTCTAGTATTACGCCTTTTATTCATTTTCACTTTGTTTCAATATAGCAAGGAGTATGTTGTACCAAGAATTTTTATATACTTTTCTGGTCCCATATGGTAGAAAATGTACATGATATTTCAACTACATATTTTACACATTTGTTCATTTACTTGTCCATTACATTAGTTGATGGTTAATGTAAATTTAATTACCAACATACCTTGGTAATACAGAATCTGTGTTTTTTTTTTACTTACAAAGAATTACTGCTATTGTCTAAGCCTTAGCTCTATGTGACTCACTGTACAGGAATTCAGAAGGTGACTTTTCAGTATGCATTTATGGAAAGTCTTGTCGCTCATGCTGTTGCCTTAAAATAGATTTACTTGAGGTCACTGGGCGGCCAAATACAGTCAGCATCATCTGATGTTTTTTCATCAGCAATAAATTGAAAATGGTCCAGGTCCAGCCTGTGACAGTTAGCAGCATGTAATAATGAGTTTGCAGTAACAAATGAAGGACTCAGGACAACTCATCCCTACTTACTCTATCATAGGCATATCTAGACCACTGCACAGCAGTAATTCTATCACACAAAGCACTTACCTGTGAAGTAAGAGTGCTTTTGCAAAAAAGACAACAAATAAAAACCAACAGAAATGCTTTGGCCCAAATCTTACCTAAGATAAATTAGAGCACCACCCTTGTCCGAGCATGCTTAATACAGTCTCTCAGTTGACTAGGAAACTGACTTTGAGTCATGCCCCCCGACCATGATACTGTCACAAACCAAATTTAGAGTTTTGCTCTAAGACGGAGTTGAAATACCTTGTCTCAAACACTTAAAAGACAAAAACAAAAAACAAACAAACAAAAAAAACCTTAATGTAGAAAAATAATTGAGGGTTACACTCACATTCAACAAAAGTCATATCAAGTCCAGGCATACACAGCATACCATGTTTGAGGAAATAATAGTTGCAATAACAAAAACACACTCTGCACAAGTTGCAAATTACTGTACAAGACCGAACAAAATATTTGCATCACGAGCAACAGAGTACGACAGTAAAGCCCAGGGTTATCGTGGCCCAGTCTGATAAAAACAGCAATTTATGACGGATTTAAGAAAAGTAAACGTTATGCAATTATATATAAAAATGTTAAGTAGTTAACACTGCCGGGAAAGTGGAGCACAAAGTTAGACATAAAACTGAAAAAGGTTTTTTAAAAAAATCCCTCAGCCCTACAGAAAATTAGCAACTGAAGTGGAGGGAAGAGAGGAAAAAGGGAGGGGTGTTGGAGGAATAACAGAAGCAAAATGACTTGGGAACATGAGCCATCAGTCATTGGGAAAGCAGGCCTGACACTACCGCATCAATAATTCAGATGACTATGGCTAATGAGCAAGATCCTAACAAATCACCTCAGAATTCACTTTGAGAACATTTCAGTGAGCAAAATATGGTGCCATTATGGTTGTTTTCCAGTTGCTATTTAGGGTTTGCCGGCAACCACATTGAAGAAAGAATAGGAAACAAAATTCATCTCACTTAAACCTTTGAAACATTCTTATGTTTTCTAAGAAAAATGGGCACAGAAACTGAGCTGAGTTTAATTAGGAACCAGGGAAAAACCAGAAAATAAGAGGTCATGTCTAAGAAGACCCATTTAAAAGGCAACATACATGTTTTAGCAGAAAACAGCTTTGAAACGAGTGTGTGTGTAAACACTGAAAGTGGAACAACAGCTGAACACAACAAACAAGTCACTACGTAGTTCTTAGTACTAATGGAATTACTAGTAGGAGCCTGCCCTGTTCACACAGATATACTGTATTTGTCATAGAGCAGTTTAAAATTATTAATTTTTTATCATTTTAATATATGTAGAGCGAACAAAACAAGAAATAACTGTTTTATACATCAGCTGACCTTGTTTTTTCAAACAACAGCTCCAACATCATTCAACAAAAATAATGCATAATAACAGAATAACAACAACAACTCACAAATTACATAAGCACAGCACTGTTCCTTAAGTGCTTTATGTTTATAAATGTTCAAGCTCAACAAAAAACATCAGTTATTTCTTAACAGTTGCTCTAAACTAAGAATGTAACAATGCACTCAACTCACAATACGATATACAGTATGTGTGAGGACGTTTAAGTTAAATTAATATGTTGTTGTTCTCCTTGTTTTTGAACAAACAAGTTACTTACTCACATAACACTTAGCATCATAGTGCTCTGGTTTTCAATGTTTCTTAATGGACCTAAAGACTACTTAGGTATTATTCATATTTTATGTTAAGTATTTAACACACAGATGTAACAGTCTTTAGTATCCAATAATCTTCTAAATGTGTCCTTGACTGTGATAGCAAGCCTACTATGTTGCAAACTCTATATCTCTGTAGATATGTATCTCCTCAGATATACAATTCTCCTTGACTCAGACTCACTGGCCAACCCTTTCTCTCTTTTTTCCTTTGACTATATATGGCTTACTAAAGGAAATGCTTACATTTGTTCTTTCTTTGTGCTGTAGTCAGCCTTAAGACAGAAGCTCAACATAAGCTAGATATAATATCTAGCAGGGTTTGGGTGATGAATGAGGCAGTATTGAAGGGATATAAATATTATTTCATTCTCTGCAACTATTTCTTTTATTCCCCAAAGGGCGTAAAGCAGGATTTAAGAACCAGGGATCCAGCCCTGCTGCACCTCTATTGCTTCTTTTTTTTTTTACTATCTTAACATATTTAACCATTTTTCTACTTTTAGGACTTCATTTTAAACTCTTCACTATACACATCCAAAAGTGAATTACACTCGACTCTATGACAGCAAAAGATATTAAGATTTTACCATCAGTTCTGTGAGGGTCTAATATCGCCAATATCTGGAAATATGAATCTGATTGAGTGTCAAATGGGGCTCCTCAGGTATCTGTTCGTGTTTGTGGACTGTGTTCAACCTAGATGTGCTACACTGGGCCAATTTCTGCAAAAATTTAATAATGATTATGATGACATGAAAATATATCCACTATTGTCCCCAAGTGACTGTACTCCAACAGAGTTGCAGTATTCCACAGTGCTGTACATGTATAAAAGTGTTAATGGAACATAAACCTATTTGTACATGAACCCAGTGTTTCTGGATTACAAATAAATTGCATATTTGAACACATGTATCATCTTTCTTTTTGATCCACTTTTATTTGTGGTGGGACAATGACACAGTTTATCGTATTGTAAATGCATAACAAGGTCATGACACGTACTGACAGACAGAAGTTTAAATCATCAATTTTAGGTAAGGAAAGCCGCTACAGTACCTTTCTGAATATTATTAATTAATTAATATTAAAAATTAATTAATTAATCACAAAGTAAACAGTAAAAACGATCATTAATATTAATGAATGTAAGTATTAGAAGATTGCAGTGATATGACACATTCATGTACATGCATTTAACGAATTTACAAAACTAAATCTGGTAGGCATCACTTGCACAGACGGTAATATCATTGTAATGGGATTAATGGATACGTGAAAAGGCCATTACATGTGTCATATGCACTACTAATGTTGAAACAATTGTATTATCACAAACGAATACCAAAATTAATCACTGAACGATATATTTTGAACCGTGTCACAGTGAAGCAGTCTTTTAGACCATTATGCGACGACACATTTCAGACCTGTCAGGTCAGGCTAGCTTAGTCTTAGTTCCTGGTTCGGCTAAAACAGACCTTAGATAGCCGTAATACATCTATGCCATCACAGATTTCCACATAAATTGACCAATGACTGCGTCTGTTAAGGGCAACGTAGAAAAAGAAGAAAAACTGGTAATATTTGTCGTTAATGTGTGATTCTCGCTGGCATTATTGGTTGCTACAGTTAAGCTACCAATAGCCGACAAGAAGTATTTCCTGCTCATTTCAAAATAAAGTTACGAACGAACGCGCACGAACGACACGAGTCCAACTAAAATGGAAGAACTAGTAGCTTTTAACTTTCTTTGAATGAAAACAACTACAAATTAACCTGTTTTACTACACTGCATAAACATCGTATCCTTGCTATTGTAAATACTGTAATTTACATACAACACGCAAGCAGGTGTCGATGAGCATTCTCAACATGTGATAAAAAGTGCAAACAGGAAGCACTGTGCATCTTACATCATATTATTAGAACATACTGGCATCGGTTAAATTGAGACACCGTGTTAACAGTTTTGGGAAGTGACTTCCGTTCTAGGTAACTAACCTTCACGAGTTTGACAAACACCGGCAAATCGAGCTGTTCGTGCATTTCCTTGAAAAAAGAATAACAATAATCGTATAAATTGAACGAGTTGTTACCTCCTTTTTCTTCTGACCTC